CGTTTTTCAATACATGTTTTTCTATTGAGCCAATTTCAAGCCAGGGAACAAATATTAATTTAAGATCACAAAAGATTTCTATGCATTTATGAATTTTCATATTGGTTTAGAGGGCACATTGCTCCATATGAAAAATATTTGACTTTCACATCCTGGCATTTGCATACAAATTTACATTCAATGGCATTCATTCTTGATGCCAAAGTTCCACAAAACTCACCATCTTCAGGAACCCAAGTTCACAAAATCAAGTTGGGTTACATTATTTAACTCTGTAATCAGAAGAAACAGATTTCCATGGCGATGGTTTAAAAGATGAGTTAAAGTATTGGATATCTAGTATTCTGAAGGACATTGCTGTCGTCAAGATTGAGGCTTGTATATTTCACACAATCACAATCTTCATGCATTGTTACAGCTTTTGAAATAGATATAGATACTTGGTCTCCAATGGGTCTGTTGATTTAACATTCATATGGAGCAAGTGTTCAATCTGCCACAGCACCCTCTAGTGTACAAATTTATACAAACCTTTGTTTTTGATGTTTTTCAAATTCTCCAAGTACGGCATTCAGGATGTCACTATCGGGTTGTATGCGTCCAGCTAACTCCTCATGATCTAAAGCGCCGATTTCATCATCTTCATATTCTTCATAAAGCTGGATTAAATAACAGTAAATGGGAATTCAGGAAACATAATATGATGTTATTACGCGGATACTGCACAAAGACAGTACAGCAGGAGTATCGACCGACGCGCAGCAGAGGCCAATGCGATGGTGTAATTATTATTATACATCTTTTCCTTACAAGGATACATCATGGCAATGTCGAAATCCAAAATGCTTAGAACAGAATCAGCGAACTTCTTTGTGTGGAGTCCAGTTAAACCCTGGTGGCAGCCATGTTTGTTTTTATTATTAAAGCACGCTTACGCAAGTAATCATTCCATATTTTGAATTTGCATTCACTTATATAGTGGGATTAAAATACCCCGTAAACTTATGGCGTTACAATGACAGATGTTGTGTGTAATTTCAAACATAGTTCACAAATATTCCTACATGCAGCCATATTAGAACAGCACCCTCACAAGTTGAAGCTAACCTTTTCAAATCTGTCATCTAATAAGGTCAGCCCTTCATTTCGTCGCATTACTGATGATGTCATTGAGTAGTTTGTAAAATGTGATTTTGTTTCAATTTCTGAGAAAGTTTTATCATCATCCTGATCCGAATCATCGGCATCAGCTCCATCAGAGGGGTAATCGTCACTACTGTCTCCAATCCTGAGTTCATCTTGTAAGTCTTCGATCTTGGCAAGTCTAATAAATAAAAGAAGAGTTTAAACATCTAACTAATAAAAATGCAAAAAATTTCAAACTTTATAAATTATTAAAATTTTCCAGAGCTGAAGATTCCATCAACTACAAAGAGGGGATTCCGAAACTTGTTTCCATGGAAACAATGGATTTGTCATTCACTCATACAGTAACACCATAATCTGGCGACCATTTTGAATTGAAAATTTTTCTTCTTCAGATATTTACATCGCCAGTTGCAGGAAAAATTTGTAAAAAAGGCATTAGCCACATCTACCCGTAGGTTTTACAGCGACAACAATTTAAATATACTTACCTTGTAATACTGTAGAATACTTTATTTTCGCTATTTTCGCTGAAGGAATGATGCAGTGAAAATAAAATCCAGCGAATATACTTTTTTTCCTATATTTCACATTAAACTCATCAAAAATCAGTGAAAATAAAAATTCCATACAAAAAGCCTTTTCAGCGAAAATTTATTCCAGCGAAAATAAAGTATTCCATAGTATTTTATTACAAACTAGCATGTTCACAGTGGAAGAATCCAGTTTTAGTCTTGGATATAAGTGTGAGTAATTGGGCCAGAAATCATATATCTACGCCGAAAATAGACCCTCATCTATCGAGCAATTGTGACAAACTACCTCCTGTTAATCAATAACTAATTTTTCAAAATTATTTTTTTCTGTCCAGAAGTAACAGTACTATTCAATCCAGAAAAGCATTCACCAATACTTATTTTAAATACTTAAATAGGACAAAGGACACAGTCTTGACACCTGAACTATTCAAACCAATAAACAGAAATAAACAGAAATACAAGAAAATATTCATTTTTCATATCCATGTACAAAGACACTATTTTTAGCGTGTACTTATGTAAATAAGTCATCTATATTGTCAAAATAGGTAATAATTTAATGATCCAGCATACAAATTCAATTTTTGGTTTATGTGAGCTTCTGAGTATATTAAATAAATAAAATACCTTCTAAATTTCGGTGCAGCATCTGTGAGTGGCCCAGAGGCTTTTACCACAAAGTCATCGTCAAGTTCATTGTCAGGATCATCAAAATTGAAATCATCATCCATAGCAGCAACTACATCAGGATCTAAATCCAACTGAGGTCCTGAAATTGAGATTATTATGTGGTCATCAGTTTGCAATCATAGAGGGTGCCCAACATCATTTTGAAATTGGCATCATACTGACTGGTAGGGCAATTTGAAAGGTTGGCAATATTTTAACTGTGAGGGCACCATAGCAGTTTGAAAGGTTGACATTATCTTGACTGTGAGGGCACCATAGAAGTTTGAAAGGAAACCCCTGCTCTAGGACCATGAGCGCAAGTGCTGACGTCAGGTAGCCAGGGGAAATAGAACAAGCAACGAGAAAATGCCAGAATGCCAGAACCGTTACTAGTTACCGGCCTCTTGTGGTTTGGTATGCCATGATACATGAGGCGGGAACCAGCCAATTTGAAAGGTTGGCATTATCGCGACTGTGAGGGCACCATAGCCGTTTGAAAGGTTGGCATTATCTTGACTGTGAGGGCACCATGGCAGTTTGAAAGGTTTGAATCATCCTGACTGTGAGGGAGTCATCAGTTTTTATAGAAAGAGGGATGAATGTCATTCAATTGTGAGCGGACTATGTTTTAAGCTTGAAATGATAAACTGACTATGAAAGCACTGAAGCAGTTTTAAAGTCATCCTGACTGTCAGAGAACCAACACAGAATAACAATAAATGTTGAGGTTACTGAAAAAATGGTTCAAATTCATTTAATCTTTTTGGACAGAGCTTCTCATATCCAACATATGCTATGTGTATCAATCAATATCCAGCTTGCTGGGCCTCAGTGATGATGTCACAACCTAGCAACAGGGTATGTCCTGCATTGCTACAACCATGAACGCTGAAACTCCCAACATTCAAAACACTGCAGGAGTTGTACACTACCTATAGGCCCCCAAATGGATTCAATGGAAAGGACATATGAATCAGTATATCACAAAATCAGTCATCCGTACCTGAAATAGGTGCAGCTTTGTTTAGCATTCCAGTCTTTTCTTCAGTGTCTGAGGCAAATACCGAGGCAGGCAGTTTGATCTTTGGCTCCTAGAAATGATAAAATACTGATATTTACAAAATAAAATAATAAGATAAACAAATTGTTAGGATATTGCAGGCTGCTACATCTCACTAAGGGTGCTTTGTAAGGGAGTTTGTATGAAAGTCACTACATATCGTTATCTTAAAGCGACACTGCCAAAACTGTGTGTGTGCATCCTGCTGTTCTATTATTACTATTTTGTTCCTGGATTGGTGTTTACCTAAATCACGATTGCACAAAAGCGCAACTGACATTCAGGAGATCTCTACAAACTAGCCACTTTCAGTATGTAGGCATTCGTTGTTGTGCGAGCCACTTACCAGTAAAGCAATCCTCAAAAACATTGTAACGTAATTCATGGATAAAAATGGTTTGAGTGAACAATTGTGAAACGTATTAATTCAGAAATTTTTGAAGAGAATTTTTCTTTTTAAGAGTTTTGCATTTCATCATAATTCTAAAAGACAAGGAAATTAGACTACGGCACAGCGAGCTATACAGATGCACATATTTTGAGAACATGTGTCTATAAGCAAAAATCATAATATTACATGTATTTTTTAATTTATTTGACAGATTTGGAATTTATCCAAGTCAGTCAGCTAGGAAGTTTCAACATAAACAAGCATCCAGGCAGGCAGTCAGCTAATGGGCTTGAATACAGTCTATAAACCAAGAAGCAGAGATAAAGCAAAGCTTGTTATAGTGTCCTTGTTTCAATTTGTCTGTGACATTTGACCTATTTTCTGTGATCTTTTTGTATAATGGTGGGAATGCATTGGTAGCCTGCAGACATTGAACAGGCACCTGTTAATGTACACCACACATCGAGCTAAGACTGGCATTGATTCAAACTGATTGCACACTGGGACCATTCCAAATTAACACTTTGAATTTTTAACAAAATGAAATACAAAGAGATGTTATCTTAACCTTTTCACCAGCAGTCCCCTCTTCATCACAAATTCACAAAATAGTCCCATTTATAGTCTGCACTTTCCTTCAGAAGATGGGGCAGAAAAAGTCAAATGTTTTGAGTAAAAACTGAAAATTTACTCAAATCTAGTTCTTTTGGCTTCAAAATTAAGTTAATTTCCAAAAATACAAGTGCAGTCAAATTTGAGCAAGAAAATCTGGCAGTGAAAAGGTTAATCTTTTGAACACTATAATTTTTCCCTTTAAAATTTGTATGCAACATTTTACACTTTCTTTAACATTTTTTTACAGTTTTTTTTATTTTGCACTGTATGAAGATAGCTCATTGCCTACAGATCTTGATGAAAATGTATGGATAACAATTATTATTTTGTGACTTTTATGCTCAAATATTTTGGCGCCAAAATACATTGTCAGAATACTGATACATAGTATTTCCCTCAAATTGTTGTGTTTAAGTAATTTCAATGTATGAGCAAAAAGGGAATGAATAAATCTGTAAAATAAATAAATAAAAAAAAAGATTTAAGAATTGGATTTTATTTCCATAAAACACCTAGATTCTAAGTAAAAAACAATAAATACTCACTTTGTTATGAATCACATTTGTGAAGAATTGTTTTTATTCTCACTAAACACAAATTTCAGTTAACATTTAAAAACCGATGCCAATGTTCTCAACCAATTAACAACATTTTCAACCAATATCAACAATTTCAACCAGTATCAACAATTTCAACCAGTATCAACAATTTCAACCAATATCAACAATTTGAAACACTATCAACAATATCAACCAATAGCAACAATTTCAACCACTAGCAACAATATCAACCACTAGCAACAATATCAACCACTAGCAACAATTTCAACCAATATCAACAATTTGAAACACTATCAACAATATCAACCAATAGCAACAATATCAACCACTAGCAACAATGT